TGTTAATTGGTTCCCCTTTTCTTTGTTGAAGAGGGCCTGTGCAGTCTTTCTGCCTAGTCTGCCATCTTAAATGTGTTCTTCTGAGGCATTTTTAAAAGCTAATGAGATTTCAAAACTTCAGAGCTCACAAACTCAGATTGCTAAGTTGAACAATTTGTTTACTTGAATGTTAGAGGTGTTACAACTTCTTATTGCATACCAAAAACCCAAACCCACTGCCATTGGGTCAATTCCAACTCATAGTGACCCGATATGACAGAGTAGAACTGCTCCCTAGGGTTTCCAAGGTTGTAAATCATTAGAGCTCTGGTAGCATAGTGGCTAAGACACTTGCCTGCTAACCAGACGGCTGGCGGTTCAAACCCACCAGCCACTCCTCGGAAAGAAGGTTGGGCGATCCTACTTCCATAGTGATACTGCCTCGGAAACCCAAGGAGGGGTCGCTATGAGTCTGGGCCGACTCAACGGCAAAACAACAACAACAACAACAAATCATTAGAGAAGCAGACTGCCTTCCTTCTGCGGAGCAGCTGGTGGGTTCAGACCATGGACCTTTCAGTTAGCAGCCTAATGCTTTAACTATTAGGTCAGAAGAATTCCTTTCCTATTACATTGTTGTTGTTGTTGTTATGTGCCGTCGAGTCAAACCTGACTCATAGCGACCCCTCCTTGGGTTTCCGAGGCAGTATCACTACGGAAGTAGGATTGCCCAACCTTCCTTCCGAGGAGTGGCTGGTGGGTTTGAACCGCCAGCCGTCTGGTTAGCAGGCAAGTGTCTTAGCCACTATGCTACCAGAGCTCCCTTCCTATTACATAGGTGGTTTAAAAACAAAAAACAAAAAAAAAACAACAACAATCCTGACAGCCTTAACCTTTATCCTAAATGCCTGAGGGTTTGTCCTTATGTAGCATGAGGGAGGACTTTCTTTATTCTAACTGAAATTAGCAACACCACTAGAAGTTTCTGGGTTACCAGATTTTCATCCCAAGAGATGTTTTGGAGAATGTAAAAACCTGCTCAGCTGCCCCTTTGTGCCAGAATTGTTCTGCATTGGTTGGTAGCTGCATCTGGAGGTGCTGAGGAAGCAATTGCTGACCCAGCTAGCTTTCCATGTTGCCTTTTATTATTGCAGCCTGAGATGTGTACTGTTGAGGAAAAACTGAAGAAGTTATGTGGTTTCAGTGATGTTGGAACTAGTTGGAAAAATCTCTGAAATTTGCTCTCCAGCACTGCTGTTACCAGTAATCTCAGGAACTATTTTACTGAGTTTCACACCAAACTTGGTACCATCACAATTACATTTTTGATGCACTTGAATTGCCTTTGTTTCAGCTAATAGTGTTATATCCTCCTAGGGAGATGATGATGAAACAAAACAGGTGGCTGGGGATAATTAGGAATTGAATTTACCTCTCACTTTCCACTTTCCTCATGAAAATGAACAGGAACAGAGTGGTTAATCACTGGTAATAAACTGCTCTCGAGCTGGCTCCCTGCAAGGTGTTGCCCTTAGAATATACCATTGCTCCAGGAAGCTGTTATTGAATGTGTTTCGGCTGTTACTAGGCAAGCAATCAGAAAAGTTTGGGTAGGAGTGTCTCAGGCTGAATTATTTGCCCTATCTTTTGTATTGGTTTTATTTTTTCAATTAATGGTTTGAGTTGTCAGATGAATTGGAGAGTGAAACAGCACCCTGTTATCTTCTTGTCATCTCTGTCTTTCCCCAATGCTGTGCCAGCTGGAGGCATATAGCAGAGCAAGCTTGTGCATGTTTTAAATGGCCCTGTGGCGTGGAAAGCAACCTATCAGCATGCAAATGAGATTGAGTTGTGTGTTACTGACTTCCTTGCAAAGATTTTGTATTTGGAATCTTTTGAGAATTGCCTGGAGAATGGTGAGCCCCATACTGGGAGCACCATTTCTTTCTTTCTTTTTTTTTTTTAAATACATTTTATTGAAATATAATTTATGTACAGTGAAATACACAAAACTAAAGTGACATGAGTCAATAACCTTTTTTTTTTTTCAGTGTTCTTTTCCCTACCCTCACCTTGGGGAACAGCATTTCTTTATATCTGTGGCACCAGTACCAAACAGAGGGCTTTTCACCAATTGGTGGCTGGCTTGCGGGTGAGGCTGGAGCCCAAGCTGGACCTGTTATTTGCCTGCCCAGTCCAGACTTAGTAATATTGCTCTAGGTCCAGGTTTCATTAGTTTTCTGATCATGTCCTACCAATAACCAGATGATGATAGGATATGTTTTTCCTTTATTTAATTTATCCAGGTTTGATTATCCATATTTTATAAGGATTTTAATTTTGAAAAATTATTAGTGGGGACTGATTAAGTAGCAATATGTGTGCAGATGTTGTATTTAAATATGTGAGCAGCAGATGTGACACATCTAGGATTGCTGGATATTTACATTTAGGCAAAGAGTTATTACTCGCCTCTGTCTTTGAACATATCATGAAACTTATATTTGGAGAAAATAAAAACTAAAAATTTACCAGATATTAGTGGCTTTGAGTGTTCAGAAGTCCTTTGTGGATTTTAAAAGATATGTTGTTGTTGTTATGTGTTGTTGTGTCAGACCCGACTCACAGCAACCCCTCCTTGGGTTTCCGAGGCAGTATCACTACAGAAGTAGATTGCCCCATCTTCCTTCCGAGGAGTGGCTGGTGGGTTTGAATCGCCAGCCTTCTGGTTAGCAGTCAAGTGCCTTAGGCACTACGCTACCAAAGCTCCCTTAAGATATAAGTGAAAATTAAGAAATTATGCATATCCTAATGTTTTGCTTTGTAGGTTTTTTTTTTCCTCATTGTTTTGGTTACTAGGCATTTTATAGCAGATCAGTTGCCATATTATGAGAATATATGATAAATGTTAACATGTACATTTTCAACATGAGTCCTACCAAGTGGCTCTGCATCCTGATTTAAGCAGGAATGTTTGCTTTTAAATTCTCAACATAACTGGCTTTTACCTTTCAGGTCCTTCCCTAACTAGAGAATTTTAAATTATTGTGCCTTCTCAAATATATAATTAGCAAGGATGAAAGGGTAAGTAATAGAAGCTTGCGAAAAATTCAAAGGTGAAAGGATAGAATTTCTGATCTATTTTGCTTTATACTTGGGCTTGCAGGAATTGTGGGGGCTCATCAGTGAAGAAATGGACCCGTGTGTATAAGCATGGAATCTCCTTACTAACCATCACCCCCAGCTCTCCTTGATAAATGAGAGAGATTGGGTCTCAGGAGAAGGAAAAAAGGTCAACATGAAGCTAAAGCAGCGAGTTGTGCTGTTAGCAATTCTCCTTGTCATCTTTATCTTCACCAAAGTTTTCCTGATTGACAACTTAGATACATCAGCTGCCAACCGGGAGGACCAGAGGGCTTTTCACCGAATGATGGCTGGCTTGCGGGTGGAGCTAGAGCCCAAGCTGGACCATACCTTGCAGTCTCCCTGGGAGATTGCAGCCCAGTGGGTGGTTCCCCGGGAAGTGTACCCTGAGGAGACGCCAGAGCTGGGGGCAATCATGCATGCCATGGCCACAAAGAAAATCATAAAAGCTGATGTGGGTTATAAAGGGACACAACTGAAAGCCTTACTGATACTTGAAGGAGGGCAGAAAGTAGTCTTCAAACCTAAGAGGTAAGTCTTCATCTTAGCAGCTATTCATGTGAGTTGGTTCATTCATTTAACTTGAACTTTATAAAACAGTGCTGATCTCCTTTTCTTGGGCTTCTCTTTGGTAGTGGAACGTTTTATCATTCTTTGAGTAGGCGAAACCTGTAAGGACAGGTTTTGGTTCTGTATAAAATCCAAATCAAACCCATAGCCATCAAGTCGATTCTGGCTCATAGCGACCCTATAGCACAGAGTAGAACTGCCCCATAAGGTTCCCAAGGCTGTGAATCTTTACAGAAGCTGACTACCTCATCTTTCTCCTGTGGAGCGGCTGGTGGATTTGACCACCAACCTTTTGGTTTGCTGCCCAGATTCTTCAACCACTGCACCACCAGAGGTCCTTTTTGGTTCTGTATAAGACTGAACTTTTTGACAGTTAGAGCTATTCTTAGTTTCTAAATTATTAGATATCTACTATCAAGTGTTAAAAGATACAAAATGAATTGGTTAAGAAATAAGCAATTTGTTCTCAAAAACATGCAAGTAAAGACTGATAACCACGTCTGGGATGGTGTAGGGTAGGAGTTGCTGAGAGTTGGAGTGGGTTTTCGGTGGGTGGCTAGCAGTCCTTTCAGCACTGAAGTTATGAGTCCTTCACCTATTTCAAGCAAAGAACTATACCATTTTAATTTCCTGCTTAACCACTTCAGGCCAGAATGCAAACTAGAGAAGTAGGTATGTCATTAGACAGTGATCCCTTAGGGCTTCTGTAGGGATGTAAAGAGATAATTTGTGTGGCAATTATGTAGTCTAGTTAATTTTTAAAAAGTCATTTTCTATAGTATATGAATTTGAAATAGGTTAACATGATGGTAATACATATATTCATATCCTTTTGCCAGGAGTTAGTTACCAGTGAATATTTTCAAAGCTTGTAATGTCTAAAATTCTGTGTAATAAACAATTTTTCATTCCTCAGTGGAGATTTTGAGAAAATTATAACATATACCTTTGGGTTTCCTGCTGGGTTAGAAGAAGAAATATGGAAGAAAGGTATACAAAATTCAACCAGAGTAGTGACCAGCTCCCTTTATTACCCAACTTTAGGTAGATAGGTCCTTGGGAGGCACAAATGGTTTGCACTTGGCTACTGATGAAAAGTTGGCAGTTCATATCCACCCAGCAAGCAGCCTGTGGTCAAAAGGCCTGGTGATCTACTTCCTTAAGATCATACCCATTGATAAGGGGCAAGGTTGTAGTCACTGCTTGGACACAGCCAGCTACCCAGAGGGACCGAGTAGTTGAACCTGTGGGCTTGGGGCCATAGTCACAGGGAACATCAAGCCCAACTGACATAATATACTATACAAAACATTGTTCCACCTCCTACTTTGGTGAGTAGCGACTGGGATCTTAAAAGCTAGCAAGCTGCCATCTAGACGCAACGATGGGTCTCTCCTCGTCCAGAGCAAAGAAGAATGAAGAAAACCAAAATTCATGGAAACAATTAGTCCTAGCGACTGGTACACCATCTGATATGCAGCCTATACAACTATGAGACCAGAAGGACTAGATGGTGCCCAGCTACCACTGTCATCCACTTGGAAGGGGATCTATGTAGGAGATCCTTGATAGAGAGGGAGAACAATGTGGAACAAAACTCAAAATCATTTGGAAAAAAAAAAAAAAATGGCAAGGACCAGGTTTGCTGGTTTGATAGAACCTGGTGGAACCACTGAGACTATGGCCCCTAGCTGCCCTTCAGGTCTGGAATTGAACCCACACCTGTGGTTTCTAGCCAAACAAAATACAGGCATATGAGTTGAACATTTACCTCAAGTAGATACATTCTTTGGAGAGAACAATCATGGGAGAAAGAAGGGCTGCTTATGCACAGGGAGACAGCTCAGGGGGCAGGAGTGTATGGAGGGATGGTCACTGGGAAGAGGTAACTATGGGGAGGAAGTGGGAAGGGTGTTGCATTGTGGTAAACTGTGGTCAATGACATGAGACAAAGTATATGTGAACTGCTGTATGGAAAGTGAATTTGCTCTGTAAATCTTGACCCAAATCACAATTAAAAAAAAAAAAAAGATCACAGCCATTGAAAATCCTATGGAGTGCAGATCTGCTCTGAAACGTGGGGTTGCATGAATTAGAATTGACTCAGTGGCAATGGGTTTTAGGCTTTTTAAATAAGTCGATAAATAAGTCCCTGGATGGTGCAAATGGTTTGTTTGCACTTGGCTCCGAATGGAAGGACTGGTGGTTTGAATCCGCCCAGCAGCACCATGGTGATGTGTTTCCATAAGATTATAGCCGTTGAAAACCCTGTGGAGTACAATTCTACTCTGAGGTATATGGGATCACCATGAGTTGGAATCAACTCAGTGGCATTGGGTTTTTCAATAGGTAGATAAAGGCAGTCAGATTGGATATATTGGCATCTCAGGAATGGACGGGATCTATGTTTGCCTGGAATTTGAAAGTATTATGTATAGAAAAGGTGGAAATTAGGAAAATTTTAAAATGTGGTAGACTTTTGGAGAGTAGAAAAGTCTGTTTGGCAGGTAATTTGGGAAAAGTATGGTTATGTGGACACTGGGATCTAATGTCCATTGAATGCACACTGTGTGCCAGGCTTTACATTAAGTGCTTGTTTATTTATTAATACTTTTAACCCTCATCACAATTTTAGGCATTTATAGTTCTTATTTTCTAAGTAAGAACCTGAGAGGTAGAAAGAGTAACTAACTTGACAGGGTCACCCAACAATAACCAATAGAGTTGGGGTTTGAACCCAAACCTATGAGAGTTCTGAGCTGTGTATATTCCACCACACGTGTGTAATTCTCTAAATTTATTTGTTTGCTTTCCTCTAAACGTGACCGTATGGAGCATTCATCATCCAGAATCACTAGTTTTGAAATATGATCCCTGACTGTTTGTAGCAGAGTAATGGACAAAAGGGAAACTAAAAACAGAAAGTCAATTTGTATAGAAAGAGATGAGTTTTGACATTTTATGTTTAAATAAGAGGAGATCATCTCCACACACATGGCCTCTGTGTTGGAGAATTAAAGGTATGATGGGACGAATATCTGTTAGAAGACAGATATTCCTGATAGTGAAAAGTCTTAGCCCAGGTGCTTTGCAGATAGGCCTGCAATGCTCAGACAAGGTATAAGGACGAGAACAGAGGCCAGACGGATGAATAGGGTGGGTGGTGAGAAATAGAAGCATAAGCCAACCTGAGTCACACTTGCTTCATCTTCTATCTCCTCCTACCACTGTAACCTTCCTGCTACATTCCTTTTCCAGACCATGGTGAAAACTGCTTTCCTCCTTCTCCATATTATCCTGTGCTCCTCAGCTTTAAAACATCCAGGATTTCCCGCTACCCACCAGACAAAACCCAGATTCCACAGCCTAACGGTCACCCCCCTGACGGTTTGGGCTGCCTCTGTATGCCCAGCCTTACCTTCCCTTTCCTCTTTGTCAGCCAAAGTGCCCCCCCCCCCTTCCATTATCTCCTAAACAGCCATGTCCTTTCCCAGCTCCAGGGTACTTTCTTCCCACACCCAGCAAGCTGCATAACCCCTGCTGCCGGTGACAACTCTCTTAGTCACTGTACAAGCTGACCTGTACGGCTTTACACCAGGTACTATCAAAGGCTGGGGAAGGTGGTGGGTGTAGCTTTCAACACTTGTAGAAATTGACTCTAGTCCTTAAACAGCCAGCAAATGGCAATTCTGACCCCCAGGGCCAAGGAGGCTATTTTGCCCTACTGTAAGTGCAAATTAATGCCCTTGGTCAGACTCTGATGTCCTTCACCAAGAGAATAGCAGTGATTTATTGCCAGTTACTGTATGAATTTTGCTGCTCTGGCAGTGACTGAAGATGGATCACTCTGCAGAGAAGGCTCTAAGTTCTCACGGCTGAGTCCAAACACGTACCTTCTTTAATGGCTTCTTGTGGTTTTCACATTTCTGGAGCCAGGTTGTCCATGCCTTCTCTCAGAGATGGATGCTACATATAGGTAGATGACGTATAGAGGAATATTGTGCCACTTTTATATGCTTCTATTGCTTTACATTGTAAAAGTGATTTTTTTTTTTTCCAATGTAGGTATATCCATTCTGGAAGTAAATTGATTTTCATTGGCAAAAACTGCAGTCATGATGCAAAAGGAATAAGATAGCAGGGGCTTAGGAGTAGCAAGCACTGAAAGGAACTTTAGAGATCAACTCTCTACTTGTTCTCTAACACAAACTCAGTGCCGTTGAGTCGGACCCAACTCATAGCGACCCCTCCTTGGGTTTGGGTTTCTGAGGCGGTGTCGCTATGGAAGTAGATTCCCTAACCTTTCTTCCAAGGAGTGGCTGGTGGGTTTGAACCACCAGCCTTCTGGTTAGCAGTCAAGTGCCTTAGGCACTATGCTACCAGAGCTCCCAACTACTTGTTCTCTGTTGTTGTTGTTGTTGTTATGTGCTGTCGAGTCGGACCCAACTCATAGCAACCCCTCCTTGGGTTTCCGAGGGAGTATCACTACAGAAGTAGATTGCCCCATCTCTAGATGAGGAAAATGAGATCCAAAGAGTTACTGGACTCCATATTTCATGCAGCCAAATCATCAGCCAAAGATTCAGACCTGACTGCAGTATAGTTCTTTCTTCTGCATTCTTATTCCTTCTCTCCCTCTCCAACTGCCCCACCCCCAAAGTTTCTGGATTCCTGTAGGGTTTTACATTTCACCCCATGCTTTCTTTTAGGAGCGTTGGAAAGCTCTGATATTTCACTGAAAGGAATGGGCTGCACATGACCACATGCCTCCCTGTGGCTCCACTGGAATCCCAACAGATCAAGTATTCAGGGACTGTCCCCTGACTCAACAGACAGCTCACAGCTGTAGTGCAGCAGAAATTGCTTGAAAGGCATCAGATTTTGCTGCAATCATATTTTGAAATTGAGATTTTTATTTTGGAGGTAGCCAGATTAATGCCTAAAAAAGCCTTTGACCCTAGAGACAGAAAGAAATATGTTTGAGTGGAGTGATCATGTTGTTAAGAAACTGGTTTACAACCAGATGATGATTCACTTTGCCTTGGAGATGTGTTTTCTGGACACTGTTTCACTTTATACTTGAAGGTGCTTTAAGTTGGAAGTGACATGAAATACCATTTTCCACTTCTGCATAGCTGTTTCAGTTTTGCAGGGTATTCTTAGTAGAAGTGCTCTTTGCTTCAGTCTCAACTCATTTTTATTTCACAGATTAAAATTGTGTACTTTTTATGATAAGTAGAAGGAAATATGCCAGTTGTCATTATCTTTTGGTCATGTCATGTAAATGATGTAAAATCTTAGAAATACAGTTTAAAATGCAGTTAGTTCAGGCTCTAATGTTACAGATGAGGGATCAGAAACACAGTGAAGAGAAGGGTTTTGTTCAAGGTTCCCTAGTCAGAGGATGACTCTCCTACCCCTCACTCCCAGTCCATTGGCCTTCTACTACATCATCATAAATATAATAAGAAACAAAGAGAAGTACTATATAAGCAACTTTAAAAAAAAAAAAAAAAAAAAAAAAAGCACCTTTGCTTATTCATTAACAAATACTGAGGAATCTCAGGACCATTTTTATCCAAGTTTTAAACTTCTAAGCTTTACCGTAGCCAAAGTTTCCTTCTTCCATGCAATCTAATAAACATTTATTAAGTAGTTACTGTAGGCCCAGGTTACACACTGGTTACGTGCTCAGCTGCTCACTAAAAGTTTGTGGTTCAAACCCACCAGCCACTCCATGGGAGAAAGGTGTGCTTCTGTAAAGATTTACAGCCTTGAAAACCCTATGAGGCATTTCTCCTCTGTCCTGCAGAGTCACTATTGAGTTGGTACTGACTTGATAACAAGTTTGGTTTGGGTAGGCCCAGCAGGAGTCCCTGGGTGGCACAAATATATATGCATATGGCGACTAACCAAAAGGCTGGTAGTTTGAACCCACCTAGAGGCACCTTGGAAGATGGTCCTGCCAGTCTGCTTCCAAAAGGTCACAGTCATGGAAACCCATGGAGCACAGTTATGCTCTGCAACACATGGGGTCACTGTGAGTCAAAATTGACTCAGTGGCAACTGAGTTATAGTCCTAGCACTGTGTTGGAGATAGAAAGATGGTCCATGCCTTTGAGAAAATTATCTTGTGGTTCTACTTAACCAGTATCAGCAACATTGAAAGCTCTTTACAATGATAAAAATAACATCTTCTATGATTTATTCATAGGTCAGTTGCTGAAATAGAGAATTCTAGTTTCCTTCTCTACTTTGTCTTCGTCCCATCCCCCAGTAATTGGTGCTAATCTAAGATTGTCCTCAGGGTTGATAGAGAAGGTGTCAGAGCAGAATCAGACTTGCTAAAGTTTATATTCTACCTCTTGTACTGTCATCTCTGGTGCTGATGTAATTCATGTCTGATGTAATTCATGTGCTTCGCATTCTTTTTGCAGGTATAGCCGAGACTATGTGGTAGAAGGGGAGCCTTATGCCGGTTATGACAGACACAATGCAGAGGTAGCAGCCTTTCATTTGGACAGGTAAGTATACTCACACCAGGCTGTGTTTTGTGTTTCCTTTTAAAAATCTCTTGGAGAACTTTATGGACGCCTTCTAAAGGGTACAACACTAATAACTTTAACTTACTATTTCAGTCAGTTGATTGACTAGTTGCATTAAATATTTATGAATCCATCATGATCTGGGTGGCATCAGAACTATCAAAGTAAGTATTTTAACTCCAGAGTTTTTTAGGTCATTTCATTACTGGCGTGCCCTCTGTGAATTATTATGAATGAAAATATTCTTGGTAAATAAAATGGCACAATGAAAACTGTACTTTGAACTCAGATTCCTTAATTGAATTGGTCATTAATTGAGCCCAAAAGTTCTATTTTTTTGTTTTGTTTTGTTTTTAAGTATATAATACTTATTTCCATATACTGAAAAAATAGCATGGTGTGTGTATGTATGTATGTATGTGTATATATATATATATATCGAATTTTATTGTCTTGCATACAAGATACACACAGCTTAAAAAACCAAAATAATTCTCCCCCCACCCCCAAAAATAGACATTAGTTCCATTACCAGGAAGATTAATAAGTTTACCAGGAAAATTAGTATTTTCCAGTAGGTTACAGTTAGGAACCTTGTAGAAGAACCAGCTGGCATTCCAGTTACTCTTTGACCAGCTCTTTCCTCAGAGCACTTTAATAGGCTTTAAAAGAAATTACTCACAGTATTTAAAAAATGAATCTCTAAGGAAATGAGAAAATAAAATTGATTTTTTGTCTTTTCTCTGAATTAGTAAGGATTTTCTAAGCATAAAAGCAATAATTAAAGATCAAAAAGAAAAAGTTTAATAGACTAAATAAAAAAAATTCACTTCTTTGTGAAACAAAATTGAAAAACAGGCAACAAACATAATATTTGATCTAACAAAATATTTGAATATTGTAAAATTTATATTAATAGACTTGATACATAAGTGCTTATACAAAATTATACATACATGAAAACTCTAGTAGAAAAATGGGCAGAAGCCACAGCAGGGATTAAGATATCTCTCTGAAAACTAAAGTGCGCCTAACGCAAGCCATGGTGTTTTCAATCGCCTCAAATGCATGTGAAAGCTGGGCAATGAATAAGGAAGACCTAAGGGAGCTCTGGGAGCTCTGGTAGCGTAGTGGCTAAGATACTTGCCTGCTAACCAGATGACTGGCGGTTCAAACCCACCAGCCACTCCTTGGAAGGAAGGTTGGGCAATCCTA